CTTCAAATCAGACACGATGCTTTTCAGTTTAATATATGTGTATTTATATAACATGTTTAAGAAATTATCTTATATGTATATTTTTAAATTTTTATGTATTTATTTTATGTGTGGGAGTATTTTGCCTGCATGGGTGTCTATGCACAGTGTACTCTCGGAGGCCACAAGGGGGCACTGGAGCCTGTGGGACTGGAGTTACAGATGGTTGTGAGCTGCCTGGAAATCTAACCTGCGTCCTTTGTGAGTGCAGCCAGTGCTGTAGCCACTGAGCCATCTCCCCAACTCTCTATTTCACATCTTTTATTTATTTATTTATATATTTATTTATTTATTTATTTATTTATTTATTTATTTATTATAATTTATTCACTTTGTATCCCAACTGTAGTCCCCTTCCTTATCTCCTTCCAATTCTGCCCTCCCTCCCTCTTCTCCCCCTATGCCCCTCTCCAAGTCCACTGATAAGAGAGGTCCTCCTCCCCTTCCATCTGATACTAGCCTATCAGGTCTCATCTGGACTGACTGCATTGTCTTCCTCTGTGGCCAGATAAGGCTGCTTTGCAAGGGGGAGGTGATCAAAGAGCCAGCCACTGAGTTCATGCCAGAGATACTCCCTGTTCCCATTACTAGAGAACCCACTTGGAGACTGAGCTGCCATGGGCTACATCTGTGCAGGGGTTTTAGGTTATCTCCATGCCTGGTCCTTGGAATATGGGTCTCTATTCTACATTTTTTAAAGCTACGTTTCACTTAAATATCCTTTTTACAATGTTCTGAATTTTTTCATTATACAAGGTCCTGATGTAAGGACATTTTCATGCATTATGTAATGTGCGTTGAGCATGGTCTCCCATGCCTGATGCCCTCTCTGCTTAGCTCCACCCACCCACTAGTCCCCTTCGCCATTTTGACAGTTTTGATTCTAATTTCATGTCATTTACTTTATTTAAAAATTTTATGTTAATGATCTCATTCACATTTGATAATATAAAATAAAATCTAAAGATGAACTTATAACCTTAAAGCAAAAATGAAACTAAAAACTGGCAAGAAAATCCAGGAGATTATGGAAATACTTAAGATTCGGGGGACCTTTTCAAATCAAAACTGAAAAGCCCACACATTGTTTATGCAAATATGACCACATAAAATTGTTGAGGTTTTATGACCACATATAAATTTAGAAGAAAAGAAATATTATTCAAAAAATTTCAAATATTTCTGAAAGCCAAAGTGTTTATATCTAAAATACAAAGAGAATTTAGGAAAAATGAGTAGTTGGCTAGAGACAAGGCTTAGCATTTAAGAGCACTGCCTGCTCTTCCAGAGGACCCAGGTTCAATTCCCAACACCCACTTTGTAGCTCACAACCATTTGTAACTCAAGTTCCAGGAGATGCAATGCCTTCTTTTGGGCACCAGGCCAACACACACACATACACAATAAATTTTTTTAAACTGTAGAAGTTACATCAATGAGACAAAGCCAGGGCACATGAGTAGAGAGGCATAGAAGAGAATATCCAAACAGCCAAAAGGTCTAGTATCTGGGGAAAAAAAAATTTTTTAAGTACTGTTATAACTACCAAAACAGGCATTTAAAATACTGAAACAGCCTTTCAGACCTAGCACTGGGGGCTGGAGAGGTGGCTGGGGGTTAAGCACGCACACTGCCCTTGAAGAATGCCTAAATTCAGTCCCCAGTAGGGCACCCCAGAGGGCTCACAAACACCTGTGAGTCCACCTCCAGAGGACCTGGTCCCCGGTTCTGGCCTCTCTAGGCATCGTTACTCACATGCACACCTCCACCAAGACATACATGCGTCGTATCAGACCTACATGCACATAAACACCATGCTCTGTAAATATGAACAGAAGTATTTTGCCCTAACTGTGTGACTATCACCGGTGTTCCGCATTGCCCGGAAACTCCAGTTAGAACTGGTCACACAGAAAAGAAGCTGGGGATATTGCTCCATGCTGGAGTGCTTGCCTAACTCATGGGAGAGCCTGGGTTCAAGCTCTTGAACTGCAGATAGGCAGGAAGGAAAGACAAGTGGAAGAATGAGGGAAACATCATAGCCTTGGGCTTTGGAGACCTAAGTAATAAATGTTTATTATAGCCTTGTCTTTGATAAGGTTTGATTTTAAATGTGTGGGTGGGTGGGGCACAGAAGAGGGCACTGGCTCCCTGAAGCAGGAGTTAGAGTTGTGAGTTCCCTGGGCTGTGTGCTGGGAACTGAACCCTGGCCCTCAGTGTTCAGAACCTAGTCTTAACCGCCGAGTCATCCTGCAGACCTATAGCAGAGTCCTCAGTGGCAAAAACTCGAAGTGGATTCTCATGAAGAGAAAAATGAATTTGTAAGCTACACTGCGCCTAGAGCATAAAAATAATACTTAGCCGTTGGAAAGAATGGGTTAAAGTCACGCTCGCTGGCTTGGGAGTGTTTAGACAAGGCTTCAGGTGAGGAAAATAGCACGCAGAGCACACTGGAAACCTGTTTGCATTTACCAGCATGGGTGTTATGGGTTTGTGTTTCTGTCTGTCTACAGAAAGCCTGGACAAATAAGCAAGGACTTAGACTGCTTTGTTAACAGAATTTACTTTGGGGTGTGTGATTGTCTTGTGTGCCAAGGAGGAACAGTGAAATGGGAACAAAAGGAATCAGAGAATAAATCAGTTCAGGGGGAGATTGCACTGTCAGGGGTGGAGTGTGCCATGGAGGGTGCAGTCACCCCGGGCGGGTGGAGAAGCTGTTACTCGGAAGGAAGCCCCAGAGAATACCCCTGCCTGTTCACAGCATGCGTGGCGCCTCTGTGTTTCTGGATGAGGCTTCTTGTTGTGGATGTTCCACTGATTGTGAGCTCAAAGTGAGTATGTTCGGCTTTTCCTGGGAGAGATGGTAACATGAGCAATTGTGAGCACTCCTGGGTTAAACTGTCAGCTCCACCCAAGCGAGCCTCAGCAACGCAGGCCGTGAAGCTCAGGGAGAGGACCTTCGTGTGGCCTCCTTGACGGTTATCAAAGTGTCATGGGTCAGTTTACAAAGCCTCTGAAACATTCTTGTGTTTCACCTCAGCCTCTTCAGAGTCCTAGTTCACCCTTCAGGCTTCTCCCTGCACTTCCCTCCTTGGGCGAGGCTGCCTCTCTCTTCTGTGTGGCCTGAAATCATGCCTACTTCGTATAATCATTGCTTCTCTCTGCACTAGACTGTGAGGGCTTGCTTTCTCCACCCACCTCTGCTCCTCTCCCCTCGTTCTTCTCCCTTCTGTATCCCCAGCTCAGCAGTGAGAGACCTGAGGCAGGGAACACAAGCCCTTACACCGCCTCTCCTCTCTCAATCCCAAACTCAGGACTGTTCTCTGAAAGGCATCCTACCAGTTTGCTCTGGGGAACCTAGGGGTTTTAGCGTGCCTGGGAGGCACCTGGAAATAGGAAACTCGGCCCCTTTAAGCGCAGAAATCTCAACCTCAAACAAAACCAGAGTTTAGTAGCTCCTTCCCTCCTGTCGCCAAGGAACTGATATTAGCCCTGCTGAAGCCTGAACAATAAACTACACAGCCTCAAAACACCTCTTTTGCGACACAGTGCCCGGGCTTGCTAGAGCAGTGCGTAAAAGCACCTCTCCCTGGTGGCAGGAGGGACGCAACCCAGAGCAAGGGACCGGAGCTTCCCACCCTGCAATCCTCACACAGATCCCAGAATGACGGCGGCGGTGGAGAGGACCCGCTGAGGGGCAGCCGGGATCCCCTGGAACCTCGCCAAGGGCGATCTGCCAGGAGCAAGCTCCCGAGCTCTCCCCATCTCAGCGCCGTCCAAAGGGCTGATGTTGCGGGGAAGGCTCGCCTTCTGCTGGCTCTCCAACCACCAGCTTAGCTTGAAACTGCTCTGGATGCCAGGCAGGATGGGGAGGAAAGACAGGCAGAAACTTGCCTTTCAGTTCGGGTGCAGAACTGGAAAGGAGGACCTGGTGGAAGCCGGACAGGCGCAGAGAAAGGCTGCCAGGTTGGATGCGAGCGAGTCCGCAAAGAGTGCTGGCCAAGAGCCTAGGATTGTCAGTCTCGGTGACAGACTAGCAGCTTTGCAGAGAGCCTCGCAAAATCCCCAGTGTCTGCAGCTGAGAGGGTAGAGCACAGGCTAGATGCTCCCAGAGAGAGACCAATTCACCAAAGTCAAGGGGGAAAGTACCCCGAAAGCTTGGACCCCATCATTGCTTTGGGGGCTGGGGAGAGAGGGAGGGGCATCAGTCCGCCAGGGAACACAACTTGGTGTCTGGAGGGTGTCCTTAACACAAGGAAAGTTGTCTTCCTACTTCTGAGGCAGAGTGTGGTCACCTGGCACTTCTTGGTAGCAACTGGAGCTTGGCGGTACCCTGCCCCCACACTCGCCGAACTCCCACAGAGACAGCGTCTCCGTAGAGGTTGTTTCCGGGCGCCTCCGCTGAGCCTCAGAGAGTTAGCTGTCCTCCACTTGAGCTGTTTCCAAAATCCTTCCTTTCTGCTAGCATCCCTGGGAGAACCGTGATTCCAGCTGAGGACCCTATCTGGGTCCTTTCCTCTCAGGCCACCTTGTCGCCCCCTCGCGGAGTGCTGGGTTCCTCGGGCCTGCAGAACGCCCACAGCAGGTCACGAGCAGCAGAAGGCGTGGTGGCTGCGGTCGTGGAGCGACACAGCTGCCAACAGCTGGCGCAGCTGCTGTGCTGCGCTCTGGGACCAACCAGTACGCAGTCCAGGTACAGCCCCTTCTCAGTGACGTCTCTGCAGCGGGTTATAAAAGCCTAGTGCGCAGCCTGCCAAGGTTCTGCTCACTCCTGAGCCCAGAAAGACCCCCACCAAGACCGAGAATTTGCCGGCAGCAGCAGAGCAGAAGGCTTGGAGCGAAGCAAAGAAGAGGGGAACTCACCAGCTGGATGCGGACCCCAGCATCCGCCCGGAAGACCAGAACTTTTGCAAGCCGTCCTCCTTCCCCTTCAAGCCCCCCAGGCAGCCGCCAGCGCTGCCTTTCCCGCCGCACGCATCTCAGTGGGAGTTGCTGGCGGCAGCAGGTGCAGAAAGGCGGGGTTGTCTAGCCATCTGCAACTGTGCGGAGCGCAACTGCTTATCCGCAAACAAGAGCCTCGCTTGAGAGTGGAGGAATTTAGAGCGACCGGGGCCGGGAAAGGAGCATACACGGGAGAAACATTGCTCCTGTAAGTAAGCCTGCTGCTTGCAGGGACTGAGTTCTGCCCAGGAAACTTCCCACCTCCTGAGTGGCAGGACCTCCGTAAGCCTGGCCTCGGGCGTCTGCAGCAAAGAGGGGTGCCTGCAGGGTGTGGGGGTACACACTGCATAGAAGCCAGAGCTTTGCTGCCTTGTCCCAAAATGGATAACGTCCTTCCTGGGGACTCGGACCTCTTCCCCAACATCTCCACCAACACTTCTGAGTCCAACCAATTCGTCCAGCCTGCCTGGCAAATCGTCCTTTGGGCAGCGGCCTACACGGCCATCGTGGTGACCTCTGTGGTGGGCAATGTGGTGGTGATGTGGATCATTTTGGCCCACAAGAGAATGAGGACAGTGACCAATTACTTCCTGGTGAACCTGGCCTTTGCTGAGGCCTCCATGGCTGCGTTCAATACGGTGGTGAACTTCACCTACGCAGTCCACAACGAGTGGTACTACGGTCTCTTCTACTGCAAGTTTCACAACTTCTTCCCCATTGCTGCTGTCTTCGCCAGTATCTACTCCATGACAGCAGTGGCCTTCGACAGGTGAGTCTGTGAAATCAAGAGAGTGCCCTGAGCATTGGGACTTGGCTAAGCAGGAGTGACCCGGAGTGTGACAGGAGAACTAGACAGGGCATCAGTTACCTTGGCTCTGACTGTCTGCCTGCTTGGACCCTTGGATCTTAGGAACGCGCCTCGCTTTCTCATCCATTCCTCACTAGCCTCAATTCAACACTTCTGTTTCCTTCACTTAGCTTCCCTTTCTGCATCCGGCCACTGATCTCTGGGTCTCTTTACTCCTGTCTTACTCTTCCCCATGCATTCTTTCTTTCCTTTTACCTTAGTGCCTGAATGGAAGGTATCAAGGGCTTGGCCAAGAGCCTTTGGGAACCCTTCTAGATCTGTTACTCTTGTGTGCACTCTATTATGGCTTTGAGGTTTTTTGTTTTGTTCTCTCTCTCTCTCTGTATGTTTGTTATTGTGGAATTTCTGTTCCATACATGCATTCTTTTTTAATTTTTTATTTAACTTTTATTAATTACACTTTATTCACTTTGTATCCCCCCATAAGCCCCTCCCTCCCCCTTCTTCACGCATGCCCCTCCTCAAGTCCACTGATAGGGGAGGTCCTCCTCTCCTTCTTTCTGATCTTAGTCTATCAGTTCTCATCAGAAGTGGCTGCATTGTCATCTTCTGTGGCCTGGTAAGGCTGCTCCCCCCTTAGGGGGAGGTGATCAAAGAGCAGGCGCAAACTCCTCTGGGTTTTTTTTTTCACCCTTTTCTGAAGATTCAAGAACTTTCCATTCCCACTTCAACTCTCTACTGTTACATGAGAGTGAAAACTGATTGACCGCAATCTTGAAACACTTCACATTGTCAGCATCTTGGTACTGCTAGGAGCCTCCTACTCAGGATGGAGACCAGGGTCCTTTCCAGGGCTTTCCCAGGCAGGGGTCCAGGAAGCTTGCCCAGGGGGATTCTAAATTTCTTTTCTACAAAAGGTCAATGTTTTTAGCCTGTGTATCCACAGAGAAATGTGCTTGTTAGAAATAATTGAGAGCTAGTCTCCTCCAACCCTCAGATTAGAGTTTCAGAAGCTGATTGGAAATGCAAAGGTTGGCTCTTTCAAACACAGAGGCCGGCTGGCGTTCTGGAATGAAAGGCTCTTCAGGTGTCATGAGGGGTAATTGGTGACTAGAACACAGATTTATTAGCATTGACTTTTCCCCGGGTGTCCTAGGTCTTTCGTGCATGGTTTCCATAAACAGGGCTACCCGTGCTTACTGATGAAAAAGTGTGTTGAGCAGCTGCCATGTGGACTTTAAAGTGGGTTGTTTTGTCATTATTGTTGAGATTAATGAATGTGAGAAGCCTAAGGGAAGTACTGTGGAAAGGATCAAGGGAAAAATATCCCCAATTACAACCACCTTTCATATAAAGACCATATATAATTTGTAGTTAGGTGTCTGTGGTGAGTGAATGCTTTTAAAAACAAAAACAAAACAACAACAACAAAAGGCCTCTCTTCCCATCTTGACAGTGGCACACGACTGCTAATTGTAAGTTCCTCCATGATGTGTCTTAGGCAAAACCTTTTGTGTGGATCTATTTGTACTTTAAATGCAGGATGTAAGCCAGTTCTTCGAGCTGCTAGTGAGAGGAGCTGTGTTACAAGCTTATTATTTGGACTGTGCCAGGATCTCTGATACCGATTTCACTGAAAACGAGGTGTGCCTGTAAACATTTCTGTGTTGACATGCACTTTAACTCATGGAAGATCCCTTAAAAAAAAAAATCACCCCCAGCATGACGTGCAGCAAGATAGATTAGTGAAAGGTGGCATTTCTGTTCCGTGCATGCATGCTTTCTCATATTTGCATGAATTAGAGCTGAGTTTTTTTTTTTTTTATTTGGGGGGGGGTGTCCTGCAGCAGGGCCTTGCCTCAGCTTCAGGAAGACCTTCCAGTCTGTGTGAGCCTAAGTGCTAGGCAGCTAATGGAGCACCTGCAAACGCCCTCTCCCCCTGACCTGCACAGGGACCTGTTCCAGGACCCCACTTTTCCTAAGGAACTTAGAAGATGAAAATCAGAGATGGGGTCCTCACCCTGGATTGTCGCAGGGAGCCAGATTTCAGCGCCACTCTTGCTTGTCTTTATAAATTATGACAGGACCTAAAATGGCTCTGAGGGTCTCAGATGCCAGAACGCAGGAAAGGCTAGGCATGAGTTATCTGCAGATGTGGCTCAGCCGTGCTAGCAGGAGCATGCTCCAGGTTCCGCTTCAAAGTAGAATTAGGGGCAAGGACACATGCCCCAAGGACATGGTCCTGTTCTTGCCTAGCCTCACAGCACTCTGGGAACTCATCCCCCACCTACCCACGGGTGCCTATTGTACTCAGGCCCATTTTCTCTCCTCCAAGAAGCTGTAGAAAGGGCTAGTAAGCTGTCTCTGAGAGAATGATCACTTCTTCCTCCAACATGCAGTTACAAGAAGTGCTTACAAGAAATGATAAATATTTTTATGTCCTTTGAATTATTAACAGACAACTTCTGAACCAAATCTTTAAAAATGACAGCATGATTTTTTTCTGGCTATAAAGTTAAACCTTATTTATTGCAGAAGATTTTGGAAGTAGGAAGAGTATAGACACACACACACACACACACACACACACAAAATCAAACTGTTACTATCCCATTCTAAATAACATCCGTTAACAGTTGAAATTCTCTTTTATGAATATTAAATACTGTATGGAGGTCACTCTGTGTGTCTGTAGCTTGCGCTTTCTATTGATATTAATAAGAAACATTAACAACTTACCGTTTTTTAGGCAGAGGGTTCTAATTAAGCTCTGTGGGCTACATACAAAAAGAAAACACGAGAGTAGAAGGGAACAGAGAAGAGTCCTCAGAGAGGAAGGGAGGCGAAAAGGAAAGATGGGGTAAAAATTACTAATATCCTCTATATAAACATAGAAAGCTACCAAACAATAACACATAATCTTTTTTTTATTAATTACACTTTATTCATTTTGTATCCCCCCATAAGCCCCTCCCTCCTCCCCTACCCACCCTCCCTCCCCTTTCTGCATGCATGCCACTCCCCAAGTCCACTGATAGGGGAGGTTCTCCTCTTCTTTCTGATCTTAGTCTATCAGTTCTCATCAAAAGTGGCTGCATTGTCCTCTACTGTGGCTTGATAAGGCTGCTCCCCCCTCAGGGGGAAGTGATCAACGAGCAGGCCAATCAGATTATGTCAGAGGCAGTCCCTCTTCCCATTACTATGTAACCCACTTGGACACTGAACTGCCATGGGCTACACCTGTGCAGGGGTTCCAGGTCATCTCCACGAATAGTCCTTGGTTGGGGTATGAGTCTCTAGGAAGTTCCCTGTGTTCAAATTATCTTGTTCTGTTGCTCTCCTTGTGGAGTTCCCATCCCCTCCAGCTCTTACTATTTCCCACTTCTTACATAAAATTCCATTCACTCTGCCCATCAGTTGGCCATCAGGCTCAGCATTTGCTTTGACAGTCTATACTGCAGAAGCTTTCAGAGGCCCTCTGTGGCAGGTTTCAAGGTTGTTTCCTGTTTTCTTCTGGCTTTCAGAATGACTTCATGTCATCTCATCGTATAAATGTGTCATTACCTAACCCCTCCCCCACTGTTGTGTAGATAAGCAATTCTAGATGTTTTTGTCATTTGTAATGCTCTTGTGAACATTTCCATATCATAATTTTATCTTACATTTCTTAAGCTGGGAGAGCGTTCCAGAAGTACAAGTACCGGATCAAATGAACCGTCTGATAAAGAGCTATTTCTCTTTATTTTAAATGATTATGAACTCTGGGCAGAGCACAGAGTGCATTGTTGTATCTGCTCATCTGAATCTCCCAGCACAGAACGGGAGGTTTGATAGCTCATCCACCTGCTTATTGATTAGATCAATGAACTGAAAGTAAAACATCCCTAGAAGAACATTTGGAAAGAGACATAAAATTGTAAAGAAAATATAAATAGTAAAGATCTCGTTTGTGATAGTTAAAAATCCTGCTAAAACCCTGCCATGCCGGCTTAAGTTACTCTTCTGTCTATGCTCTACACCTCCACTTACACGCTAAAAGGTAAATTTTAGATAACCAAAACTGTCAACAGGTGATTTTTTGGTTCTTAAGGTTGTCTTTTCCAAGGCTTCTGATTGGTACTGTTGTTGTTTGGCATTGTATCATGGGTATATTCTATGTCATAAAATATTGCAAAAAAAAAGATATTTGACATGTAGCTGCACAGGAGAACATGTATGTAGCATACACAGAGTCATGGGTTCAATCCCTAGAACCAAAAAGAAAAAAAAAGGAACACTTAGCAGACACGGCATACTATATGACAACAATCATCTCCCACCATCATGGTAACTTTGAAAATTAGCATTCTAGACATAAACCTGTTTACACTCACTTATTGTGTGTACAGGCGTATGTGCATGCCATGGCACATGTATGGAGGTCAGAGGACGACCTGCAGGAGTCTGGCTCTCTCCTTCAGTCACATGGGTCCCAGAAATAAAACTTAGTTAGACTTGGCAGCTCCTCCACCAGCCAAGCAGGCCCCTAGACAGAAATCTCTAAGAGTCTCTCTCTTTCTTTCCTGAGGAGAAATTACTTGCAGTGAGGTGGTTTGGTTAAACTACCTATCTAAAATTTGCCAAGCTTCTTTTTAGAACCAAAATATAAAAAGAGGAATAAAACTTCAATTGCAGATTGCTGCATTAATTTAATGTTTTCTGCAGTCATTCTGTAAATGGAGGTGGATGTGGAAGGAGGGCCTCTCCTCCTGGACAAATACCATTTTTAGAAAGATTTATTTTATTTTACTTTCTGTGTGTGGACATTTTGCCTGTATGCTTGTGTATCACATGAGTACCTGGTAGCTACAGGGCTCAGAAGAGGGCATGAATCCCTGGAACTGGAGTTATATATTCTTGTGGAGACTCTGGGAACTTAACCCAGACCCTCTCTACAAGAGCAATCAGTGCTCTTAACCTCT